TATGCATTGGAGGAAGTAGGCCTCAGTGTGGTAAAATGCATTTTTGTGTGACTATGCATTAGAGGAAGTCAGGCCTCGGTGTGGGAGCTTGACCAGGAGGCCCTAAGGGAAAACCTTCCACCTCTCACACCACCTTGTGTTTGTGTAGAGGTGTGTGTGTGGGGGGGGGGTGTCCCTGCTTCATACGGAGGCTTGGGATGGGGCAGGCAGATGCCTGAGACCCCTAGAGGGCCCTGTAATTTAAGAGCGCTCCCTGATTTCATTAGCCAGAGGAAATATGGGGAGCTACATCAGAGGAAATGGCTGGCAAGTGCATTATGGGACATTAAACAATAGCTGATCAGCATCAGACACAAATAAATAGCCCATGAACTAGTGCCAAGAACATGAATGGTCCAAATAATGGTCTGGCTGGCTTCCAGACAGCAGAGTGGGTAGCTGGACATCATCTAGGTCGCAGTGTCTGTCCTCATCTCATCCCAGCAGCATCAGAGGATTCCAGCACCCACACAGAGTCACATCCTTCCGCATGACCTCACTCTTCTCTGCTCGATTTGGGTCTTTTCCCCAATCTGGCTTCTGAGGTTTGGATCCAGAAATGCTCTGGATACTTCTTGCCTGCCTGGAAAATCCTGTACAGATGAGGAACATGTGTCCATGCAGGCGAAGGGTAGGATAGCTCACAAGGCCTAAAGAGGTTTATAAAAATGGGATTTCCCTGGCTCCAGGGAGGTCCCCATCCCCCCAAACACTCTTACTTAATCTCATCTCCTTTAACTCTGATCTTTGGTTTCCATTAATATGCAAATATCAAAGAAGAAGTGAGTCAGTGCTTTGGCAAATCATGCACACATTTATAAAACAATGCTTAAGTGGGGCACAGAGGTGCATGCCTATAATCCCAGAACTTGTGAGACTGAGACTACGGTAGGAGGATGGTGATATCTAGGCAACTTTGTGATATCTATCAAGTTCAAGACCAAGTAGGCAATGTAACAAGATCCTGTCTCAATCAACAACAATAACAGCAACAAAAAGGCAATATTCAATTCTTTGTTAGAACTTTGGAGACTGATATCCTGAGGACAAGAGAATGGATAATGAGGAGTATGGAGGAGAGCTTCCAGAGGATAGGACGGAAGCCTGTGGGACTGAAAAGATCACTAGCACATTTATCCAGGCCATAAGCAGACTTGGTCCACATTGTCAAAAGCCCTGGACACATAGTAGAGGCCAGAGACCAGTCTCCAGCTCTTCCACAGACTAGCTATGTGACCTTGGGTAAATTACTTACCCTCTCTGAACCTCTGTTTCTTCTGAAAAGTAGTATTGCTCCACTCACCCAAATACTAATTTTTTGTGGAAGGTCTGTTCCCCTGGAAATATTGTTACTTATGGGCATGTGACTTCACCTTCTGGCAGCTACAACTACTGAGCTCCACCTGTGAGGACACTGGAGCTGAGTCAATCTATAGACGGAGAGTGAGCCTAACCAGGGTCAGCCCAAGCCAGGCCAGATCAGGTGATCTTTAGGTAACCCACAAAACATGAACTTCAATAATAAATGATCCAAGTTTTAAGCTACTAAGGGTGGTTCATTACCAAGTAAATGGTTAAGATAATATACCCACTATGGGCCCCTGGCATTTTTAACAGACATTGTTCTAAGACTATCTGTCATTTATCTTCCTTCTGAAGCACAATAGAGGGAACACAGTTCTTCAATGTTCATGATCACCACAATGAAAACCATTCCTGCCCTGCCACCAACGATGCCCTCAGGGGTCACACAGATAACTGTCCTCTACCATTCTTTGTAAAATTTCTAGTTCTTTACCATCTTTCTTGTATTTAATCCTTTTTTACCTGCTTTGTAGCCCAGGTGGTCTTCAATTTGAAGTCCTCCTGCCTCAGGCCACCAGAGTGATAGAATTATAGCTTTTTGCAATCAGACTTAACATCTGCCTTTTGGGCCAGCTAGATGGTTGTGCACATAAAGTCACCGGCCACCAAGCCTGACAAACCTAGTTCAATTCTGGACCCACAGGTAGAAGAAGACCAACGCCTGAAAATTGTCCTCTGACCTCCACATGTGCTAAAAACTGTGGCATGCCCCATCACATTAATAAATAAAAATGTATAGAAACATCACCTGCCTTTTGCCACCATAAGCAGCAGCCATCTAAGCCCAGTAGAATGGTGTCCAAAGTAAGAGTTAATAGACTGGAGTGAGGACCTGAGATAGTATGAACTCACATGCAATGCAACAAAGTGCTGGGGTTTGTCTTAGCTTGGCCTCCTTGGTGCTCTCTGCTCCCTGCCTGGTTCTCCTTTGCGCCCTAGCTGTGAAAGCTGCCCGGTAATGTACACCTGATTCAGAAAGTCAGGCTATTGAGCATTACAGGAATACCCCTTTTCCTGGAGAGAAGAATGGAAGCTCCGCATGAGTGCTAGCACCCCTGCAGGCCTGTGAGAGACCTTCCTTCACCACAGCCCACCTGGGACTCTTGGCACCAGAGTTTCAATGCAGTTGGTAAGTAGTTGAAAGGGTTTATGTCATCCTGAGTCTGGGTGCAGTTTCATTTCAGGGCCTGGATTAAATCTCAGAATTGTGCTCTCAAGAAGCCTGGCAACTAAGTGAGGGGAACAAAGTGAAATGACTCCACAGCAGACAGCAGATACTGTGCTGGACTGTTAACTCTGTGATCTCTAGGCTGACCCCAACAGTTGGTCAAATGTCTAAAGACCATATTCCCAACCACAAGATCTAGAGTTAGCAACTCATTCAGAAGGGCCTGTGGAGTGCATAGCATGTGCAAGGCCCTGGGTTCAATCCCTAGCACCATAAAAAAGAAAGGGAGGGGCTAGAGAGATAGTTTAGCCGTTAAGAGCCCTGGTTGCTCTTCCAGAGGACCTGGGTTTGGTTCCCAGAATCTACATGGCAACTAACAACCATCCGTACCCCAGTTTCAGATCTGACACCTTCTGGCCTTCACGGGCATTGCATGACATGGGTACACTTACATACACAGAGGCAAAACACTCATATACATAAAATAAAATAACAATAAAAAATTTAGAAGCCTGCGTGGTGGTGCATGCCTTTAATCCCAGCACTCGGGAGGCAGAGGCAGGCAGATCTCTGTAAGATCAAGGTCAGCCTGGTCTTCATAGAGTTCTAGGCCAGCTGTGGCTACAGGGAGAATGTAAGCCAAAAAAACAGGGAAAGGGAAAAGGTGAGGAAGGCGAGGAAGGGACAGGAGGTGGAAGGAGGGGAGGGGAGGGAAGAGAAGGAGACTCAGGAGTGAGGGGTTCAAAGAAAACCACAAGTTCTTTTCTCTCTAGCTTTCAGAACACCTTAGTGATCTTGGTTCTATATAAATTAAATAATAAAAAATGAGGATGATCTCCAATCAGAAATGTTTTGTCCTTTCATTTACCAAGTACTTACTGAGCATCTACTACATGCCAAGCACTGCTCTGACCCAGAAAATATTAACAGTTATAATGCATAAGACAGACAGTCCCTGTCCACTGTCTCCCAGAAGTCAGAAAGTCCATCAGAGGCAGGGCTGAAACCAGAAAACTAAGTGTCCCTAATTCTTTAAGTCCTCAGGAAATTCTCAAAGATATCTATAATCCAAATATGATGAAGAACCACTGATCAGATCAAATTAACTACCAGACCCTCATTAGATTTTTCAAACAGGGTCTCAGCCTTAAGCGCACCATCCTCCTGCCTCAGCTTCCCATGCTGTCCAACAGGAATGTGCCACTACACTCAGCTCCCGAGCTTCCCAATGGATAAGAGAATAATGACCCTGACCAGATGAAGCTTGGTGCTCTCAACCTGAATCTGTGAGGGACATGTTGACACAGTCTCACGGCGACACAACCATCTGCCTTTTCTGCCTTCCCCACACCCATATTCTCTTGGGCCCTCTCTCCTTCCCTACCTCTTCTGTTTCTCACACTTTTATAATTAGCCTCACAGCAGTCTCCCTGTCATTTCCTTAGGGCCCACAGAGTTTGCCAGCACAGCTTGCCCATGAGCTGTTTTTATGAATGGAGAGAGGCTGGGGGTGGGTCCAGAGAAATGTCCTCCTTGAGAGCCTGGTATTTCTGGTCCTCCCTGTGTTTCACAGGCAAGACACTGAGTTAACTGCAGTTCTTGGACAAGACATGACAAGGGGTGAACTGAGGCGGCTGTGAGGAGACGAGGAGCAAACCCTAGGAGTCTGCCAGCCTTCCTCAGACCCTCTGGAGATATTCGAGTTTCCTCAGAAAGGTCTGAAAGACTCTGCCAGTAACCCAATACTTCCCCTATCCCAGGTCAGTCAGGACAAGGGCAACAGCTTGATGTCCTCAGAAAAGGTTGCCAAGCTGGCCAACCAAGCCCCTTCTTCAAACCTCCCAGGCCTGCATCCAGCAGATACATCTGGCTCCAAGTCCACCATCCTTCTGGAAGCCCTCTCCACTCCCAGCACCTCTAGATGCGCCATAAGAGCTGAAGGGAAGAAAACCAAACAGGCTGAGAAATCAGAACACCTAGTCCTGAGATGGCGAAGGAACCGTCTGACAGGGCAGCCAGTCAGACCCCCTTGCCCTTCAGAGGCACTTGCTCCACAACATCCGGAGGCAATGGATTTATAGAAACATCTGGGACTTAGTTCTCTAGAACTTGTGCTTCCCTGTCTGTCTCTGTCTCCCAAATTCCTGACCAAAATGAATCATGCAGCAAATGGGCAGAAGAGTCGGGGGAGGCAGCAGCCGCAGTTCAGAGCCTGGCTGTGAGCAGCAACAGTTGGAAAAAGGACAGAAGGGCCGTCTAGATGAGCTCGGGTGACAGGAGGCATCCAGGGTGGCTATCTCCCCCCAGCCTCCCTCCACTAAGAGCAGAGTGGCAAAAACACCAGGACATATTGCAAGACAATCTTGCCCCCTGCCCCCACACTGCCCTCTGCCAGATTGAAGAGAGGAAAGTCTTGGTCATCATTTACCTGCTGAAATTGGGAGGACGCTGTTGATGAAAGTCGGCTGAGACATGATGGAACGGAAGAAGAGCTGCAGATAAATTCCCAAAGTCATTGGATTCAGGACAACCATGCTGGCCAGGTCTGGCAAGTGTTTAGATGGCAAGGCTGCTGGGGGCCTCTCCTAGCTCGGCTTTGTCCTGACTGCTGTTTGCCTGCCTCTCTCTCTCTCTCTCTCTGTTCCCTCCCTCCTTGTCTCCCTCCCTCTCTCCCTCCCTCTTCTTTCCCCATGCCTTTACCAAGAAAGAATGCCAACCATTTCCCGTTAAACCTTCTCCGTACTATACAGGGTTATATTTATCTCAAGCACTGGATCGAATGCCCACATTAAAATTAAGATGTCAGAATTTTCTTATTTGGAGACTGAGGTAAGTGACGATTGAAAAGATGATAAAGACAGCAGCCAAGACTCCAGCATTCCCTGTGGCCATTCTCAAGGGCAGATGGCTTTCCTACTCCATTACCCGTCATCAACCGCCTGGAGTGCAGGTGTTTTGCTCTAGCACTGATCAAGCCTTCAGACTCAAACTGCCTGGAACAGTCTCAGCCACTGGGTAGGGTGACAACTGTAAAGTTGACATGGGACTTTTTGCCTGGGAGTTTGCATTTCCAAACAGCTTTCCCTAGGAAAAAATCTCTGTCTCTAGAAGATGCAAACCATTAGTCTCATGCAAAACACTTGGAAATAGTAAACAGATGGGAAAATGAACGAGGCTATCAAACTGTTCTTGGATGAATAGCAGCATTGATACCATCTTGGCTAGACAAAATTCTTCAAACAAAAATTATGATAGAAGCTAGAGAGATGGCTCAGTGGTTACCACGTACTTTTTTTTTTTTTTTTTTGGTTTTTTTGAGACAGGGTCTTCCTGTAGCCCCAGCTGTCCTGGAATTCACCATGTAGACCAGGCTGGCCTTGAACTCTCAGGGATCTGCCTGCCTATGCCTCCCGAGTGTTGGGATTAAAGGCATGTGCCACCACACCTGGCAGGGACCATGCAATATTCTTACAGAGGATCTGAATTTGGGTCCCAGCACTGTTGGGGGGGGGGGTGTGCCTCGGGGGAGGGGTCATTGTTTACACCTCCCTGGAGAAGGAATTTTAGCTCCAGTGTCACTCTTCTATCAAAAAGACTGAGTCTACTTGCCCTTCTCTTGAATCTGGGATGGTTTTGTCACTTGCTTTGAGCAATATAAAGCGACCCAAGTGATACTGTGACATTTTCAGGCCTTGGTCTTGAGAGGCTTGGAAGCTTCTGCTTTTCTTGGAAATGATCTGCAATGTATTTTTTTTTTAATGTGCATGAATGTAAGTGCACCCATAGTGTGTAATGACCACGGAGATCAAAGAGGGTGCTGGACCCCCTAGAATTGGAGATACAGATGGTTGTTAGTTGCAATATGAGTGCTGGGAATTGAACCCAGGACCTCTGCAAGAGCAACTAGTGAGCCATCTCTCCAGCCCAATGTATTTTTTTTAAAAAAAGAAGGAAAGAAGGAAGGGAGGGGGGAGGGGAAGAGGGAAGGAAGGAAATCATGAGCAAGTGAAATGTCTGCTATCTAAAATGACTATGTTTTAGGATGACTGGCTATGCAGCAATGGCTAGTTGATACAGCTGCTGAGAAAAGCATGAAGAGTCCTCTAGGGTTCTTTCAAAATGTGCAGAACAGTTTAAAGACAGGGCACCCTGTTTATTGACCTCCAAAATGTTTGACAGAAGGAGCTGCTATTACTGGCCAAACCCAGCCAGGTCCTTCTCAGGCTTGTTCCAAGTCTCAGAACCAATAGCTCTAGCAGTGGGCTGGTGGAGGCCTGGAGAAGGTGTACTCTGTGAAGGAGAAGGAAACTAAACCCTTTCTTTCTCTTTAACTTCTTTTTTTCTTTCTACTTCCCTCTTCCTCCCTGCTCCTCTGCAAGTGCGTGCGTGCGTGTGTGCGTGTGTGTGTGTGTGTGTGTGTGTTTTCCACCAGGGTCTACTGTGTAGCATAAGCTGGTCTTGAAGACAGGCTTCAACTCCACCATGCCTGGGTGGAAGATAACTCTTAAGTAAGTTTTCAAACCCAGGCCTTTACCATCTAGCTCAAATTCTCTCTTGGTGAAGCCAGCAGGGTGACAGCTTCTTGGCAAAGTTTAGACCCATGACTTCTACTTGTGACACCTGCAGCCAATGTTCGTGAACTGCTTCTAAACTATCTTCTGTTTCCATTTAACACAAGTTAACACTTCTGAAGCTGGAGGACTGCCCTATATATCTGTGTGTCCTCAAGGTCCCAGGACAGTCCTTGGTCACCTAACAGATCACACCACTGTGTAAGATGAAAAGAAAAGGAGAATGTATAACTGTATACTTCAGTCATGCTGTTTAACTTGCACTTTCCCAGCATGTTCATATCATTTGGGCACATTGCTACTGCGTAGGCCTGGGCCGGGTACAACCAAAGACCTTGGTGAAACTGGTGGCACACGGGAGGTAGTATGATGGCCACCTGCATACAGGGAGGTTAACGGTGCACACTGAGGACACTGTGTATATAAAGTCACCACAGGAACCTTGATCCTTTGGGGAAGTCCCCCAGAGAAGTGTCTACAAGCCTCCAATATTTAAAGAATTCTTAGTAAATTTCCATTTTCCCATGTGTTATATGAGGCTATTTCTTATGAGGTTACCCCAACTAATGAAGGCAGAAATGATCATCTGCTTCAAGCCCTCTGACTCTTGCAGAATCTAATAATTGAAGCTATTAGATTTGTCCAGAAGGCAATTATCTAAGATTTGAGAAACGCTCACACCAATAAAGCAAATCAAAGCCAGAGCTTCCTCTCAGACCTCAGGTAGGACTGTAGACAGAGAACAATTCCTTCATCCTGTTAAACACAAGTGCTACCTGATCAAGAACTCACACAGAAATACTCAACTGCCCAGTGGTTTAGGTCCAAGAATATGCATTTCTCCCTCAACAGGAAACATGGAAATAGCGAATTTTCTGTGATACACAGTCATTAAAATAATACAGGCCAGGTGTGGTGCCACAGGCCTTTAAACCAGTATTCAAGAGGCAGAGGCTGGCAGATCTCTGTGAGACTGAGGCCAGCCTGGTCTACATAGCAAGTTCCAGGCCATCGGGGGCTACAGGGAGACACCATATCCAAACACACACACACACACACACACACACACACACACACACACACACACACACGCGCGCACACACACACACATATATATACCACAACACGCGAGCGCGCGCACACACACACGCATATGTATGGCACGACACGCGTGTGTGCGCATGCACACACACACAAATGGTGCTAGAAAAACTGACCTTACACATAAAAAGTAGAAATGAAGTCTAACCCTTACCTTGCCCCATTTATAAGACTTAGTTCAGGATGACTCAGTGTGTAAAGTGATTACTGTGCAAGCATGAAGACCTGAGTTCTGATCCCTAGAACCTTTATAAAAGCTGTGTGTGGTGCTTTGCCTGTAACCCTAGTGCTGGGGGGAGACACAGGAGGATCCCAGTGCCTTGCTGCCAGCCAGCCTAGCTGAAAAATGGTTAGCTCCATGTTCAGTGAGAGACCCTGTTTGAAAAATAAGGCGGAGGGAGCTGGAGAGATGGCTCAGCAGGTACGAGCTCTTCTGGAGGACCCAGGTTCAGTTTCCAGCACTTACAAGGTGACTAACTTAACTGTCCTGTCCTTAACTCCAGTTCCAGGGGATCCAGTGCCCTCATCTGGTCTCTGTGGGCACTAGGCATGCATGTGGTATGCTTATATACATGAAGGTAAAATACTCATACACATAAAATCAGGTGAAGTAACTGAGGAAGACTTCCACCACCAACCTCCCAGCCTTCATAGGTTCACACCAACATCAGCTTCCCAGTCTTCATAGGTTCACACCAACATCAGCTTCCCAGCCTTCATAGGTTCATACCAACAACCTCCCAGCCTTCATAGGTTCACACCAACAACCTCCCAGCCTTCATAGGTTCACACCAACATCAACCTCCAGCCTTCACAGGTTCACAGCAACATCAACCTCCAGCCTTCACAGGTTCACACCAACATCAACCTCCAGCCTTCACAGGTTCACACCAACATCAACCTCCCAGCCTCCATAGGTTCACACCAACATCAACCTCCCAGCCTTCACAGGTTCACACCAACATCAACCTCCCAGCCTTCACAGGTTCACACTACCATCAACACTCCAGCCTTCATAGGTTCCTGTACCAGCATCAACCTCCCAGCCTTCACAGGTTCACACCAACATCAACCTCCCAGCCTTCATAGGTTCACACTACCATCAACACTCCAGCCTTCACAGGTTCACACTACCATCAACACTCCAGCCTTCATAGGTTCCTGTACCAGCATCAACCCTCCAGCCTTCATAAGTTCACTCCACCATTGACCTCCCAGCCCTCATGAGTTCATGTACCAGCATCAACTTCTAAGCTTTCATAGGCTCACACCACCATCAATCCCCCCAGCCTTTATAGACTTTATAGGTTCATGTACCAGCATGTGCCCTTGCACATGAGCATGCCCACATGTGTATACACCACACACATACAGAGGCACACGTAGGCACTTGCATACACAATAAAAAATAATAATTAGTTCAAGGTAGACATGCCTGTAATCCCAGTACTTGGGAGTCTGAAACAGAAGGATCATAGGCTATGCAGCAAGACCTTATGTCAAAAACAAAAATTTAGTTCAAAGTAAATCACAGACCTAAACATAAGATCTAAAATAATTGAATTTCTAGAAGAAAACAGGAAAAAATCTTACTGTATTAATTTCTCACTGTTATGACAAAATACCTGACAAAAGGAACTTAAGGAAGGAAAGGTTTATTATGGCTCCTGGTTTGAAGGAGCAGTCCAGGGAAGGCATGGAAGCAAGAGCTTGAGACAGCTGGTTACATAGCAGCCAGAACAGAGAGCAATGCATGTTGGTGTTCCACTCACCTTCTCCTTTATTCAGTCTGGGACCCCAGTCTGTGGGATGGTGCCACCCAGGTTCCCTCCTCAGTTAACCCCTCTAGAAATGCCCTCACTGACACACCTAGAGGTTGATTCTAAATCCCATCAAATTGACAATTAAGATTAATCATCACATTTAGGAACTTCGAATTATACAAAGA